GAGGTTTGAACCCCCCCCCACTTTGGGGCTGCCTCTGATCATCGTTGCTGCGTCCCCGCCACCGTCGGCGCTGCTGGCGGCCGCCAGCGCCGGCGCTGGCGCTGGCGCCGAGGGCGGGGGGGGGTTGAACGCCCCCTCCCCTTGGGAGGTGGGGGGGGTTCGGGAGGGGGGCGGGTTTGGGGGGGAGGTGAGTTCCCCTCGTTTTGATCGACGGCGCCAAATGTTGGGGGGGGGCCCACCCCTGGGTTCGAAATGCGCCGCCGAATGTTCCAAAGGCAAGCGCCCGTGAAACGCGCTCTCTCCGACAGTGAGATCGATACATACTTTCGATAAGGGGGTATTTATCAGGGGGGGGGGATCGACCTCCTGACGGAGCTTGTCCATCCTCCCTCCCCCTCCTCCTCCACCTCATCATCATCCTCTTGTTCCTCTTCTTCTTCTGCTTCCTCCTCCTCCTCCTCCTCCTCCTCCTTCCCCCTCCTCCTCCTTCTTCTCCTCTTCCTCGAACCCCCGTCCACCCGATCCGACAGCACGAGCCCAACCACCCCCTTGGCTCTAGGGGGGGGCGATTATTGCGCCATCCAGAGTAGATAATCAGGTCGATAGAGATGACTAGTCAGGTTGATAATGAGATCGGCACATCGTGAGAGCACTCGATGAACAATGGGGTCCCTGCAAAGATAATGGGATCGATAGATGGGTAGACCGTGAGATCGGGAGATAGTGACATTGACATACGGATCGTGAGGACGATACATAGGTAGTGAGGTCGATAGAGTCTAGGTTGATCGTGGGATCTGTGTGTAGTGAAATCGTTAGATCGAGAGTGTGGCAACTATATAAATATTGAGGCTCATCTATAGGCACATCGATCAATAGTGATATCGAGGTAGGAGAGAGCGCGTTTCACGGGCGCTTGCCTTGGGAACATTCGGCCGCGCGTTTCGAACCGGGGGTGGGCCCCCGACCCCCCCAGCGCTCGGCGCCGTCGATCAGAACCAGGGGGTCCTCCCTCCCGCCTAAACCGCCCCCCTCCCGAACCCCCTCCCCCTCCCAAGGGTGGGGGGTCCAACCCCCCTCCGCCTCCCCCTGGGAAAAGAACAGGATATTCTAACTCCCCCAGTGTTTTCTCTTCCGGCTTCCTGGGGGGGGGGTGGTTCGAACCGCCCCCCCCTCCTCTCTGTCCTCGGTGCTGGTTCTGGCGCCTGCGGTAGCGGCGGCCGGCAGCACACGGCAGCCGCAGCGACGATGACCAGAGAGCGCCAAGAAACCGCCACGGGAAAATACAAATTGCCATATCGAGCCTATGCTTCCCAAAAGCCACCGGGAGCCCTTAGGAAGTTCCCAGAGGCGCCCAAGAGGCGCCCAGGAGCCCTCACACATGCTTCTCAGACGCCCCCGTGGACCCCTCTGACGAGACCCCAGGAGGCATCCATTGGAACTACAACCCAAAGCCAAGACACGGTGACAGGAAGACCCGAAGGACACGCCACCACCACCACCGCCGCCACCACAAACCACCACCACACCACCACCACCACCGCCTCCACCACCACCACACCACACCACAACCACCACCACCCACCACCACAATCACCACCACAACCCCAAACCAACAACACCATCACAAACCACCCCACAACCACCACCACCACAACCACCACCACCACCACCACCACCACCACCACCACCACCACCACCACCACCACCACAACTACCACCACCGCCACCACCACCACCATCCCCACCACAAACCCCTTCGCGGCACAACCACTACCACCACCACAATCACCACGACAAGCCACCACACCACCATCGCCACCAACACCAACACCACAACCCACCACTACAACTACCACCACCACCACAAACCACCACACCACTACCACCACCGTAACCACATCAACCACCACAACCACCACCACTACCACCAACAGCCACCTCACCACCACCACCACCTCCACCACCACCACCGCCACCACCACCACCACCACAACTCACCACCACCATCACCTCGGAGAGGCCCCGAAACACGCCCAAGAGGCGCCCAGGAGGCTCCACAAATGCCCCTCAGAAGGCTGGCGGAGGGGCTCGAAGCCCACATGAGCGACGATCGAAAACGGGTCTCACGCGAGATGTCACAGCGACCTCACGCGGCAACTTCCGCTGGCCGCCACCGCGGCACGCTGCATTGGAGACGCTGGCGCCAGCACGAGGCGAGGGAAAGAAGGGGAGTAGGGGAGGAACGAAGGAGGGTGGGGGGGTTGAACTTCCCAACCCACCTCCGCTACGGAAGAGAGGGGGGGGCGTTTCAACCCCCCCTCCTTCAATCCAGGGGGGGTGCCCGTTCCACCCCCCCCCCTCCCTCCAAGCGACCACAGAACGCGCTCTTTCACAGACAGACAAACAGACAGGCAGATAGTGGGGCTGGTAGTGATATCGATAGATCGGCATACCGATCTACCGACACATATAGTTGCATATAGTTATGCATATGTGTGTTATATATATATACATTGCTGGCGTGACCTCTCTCGCTCTCTCTCTCTATATATATATATATACATATATCATACACAATGAACGTGTGACCTCTCTTGCACATGTATATATATATATAGATATATGTATATACAAGACTGCATTCGCGCTTCGCGCCATGCGCGTTGTTCCGGACGCTTCCCTGGCAAAGCAATAAATCATAGTTTCCTTCAGCAAGGAGGACCTCGAGGCCTGGACGGGCGACCCGCCCATTTTTCCGATATCCCGGGTGCCTGCTGACACCGCTTTCGGACGATGCGCTGGCACGCTTGTGCGCAGGAGTGGGGAAATCATGGGGATTTTTTCGCGCGCGAAGGTCCTTTGAGGAAGTAAGGAGCGTTCCCATGACACGCCGAAGAAGTCACAGTAGCTCCGAACACATCGATTTTTGATCGCTTCCCGAATGCCTGGAGGGCTTCAGGCACTCAGGAAATCTGCGATCGTCGAATTTCGAATCTAGATCCATTGCCTGTCTCTCTCGATCGGGGAGCTACTGAAACCTCGAGCCTCAAGCGTGGAACCAAGATCGTCGGGTCAGCTTGATGTATTTCGTAGGAGAACGCCGTCTGGTCGTTTTTGGTGCTCTTTTGTGCCTTCCTGGGGCACTCTTGGGCCGTCCTGGGGGCTTCTTGGGCCGCCTTGGGGAGCTGGGGCCCTCCAGAGGTCTTCTGAAGCCATCTAGGGCCCTCTTGCGGGCCTCCAGTGGCGTTCTTGGAGGTATCCCATGGCTTTTGTGGGTCTCTCTTGGAAGCCTTCTGGGGGCATCTTGGGCTTCTTGTGGGCAGTCTCGGGGCTCTCTGGGGCAGTCTTGGGGCTCCCTTGGGCCGCCTTCAAACCCTCTAGGGGGCCTCTCGGGCCGTCTTGGGGCGAGATTGGGGGCCCATTGGGCCGTCTTGGACGCTGCGAAGACCCAAAAAGCGGATATGCACAACAGATGTATTTCCTGAGGGGATGTGACGATTTTGGCTTCTTCGGGGCTCTCTTAACGGCCTCTTGGGGTGTCTTGGGGGCCTCTTGGGCCGTCTTCAGACCATCGAGGTTCCTCTTGGAGCGCTCTTGTGCTGTCTAGGGTCTCTCTTGCGCCCCTCCGACGACCCCTCTAATCGCCTTCAGTCGGCTCGCAGGGCCCAGCGAGGCGCCCTGGGAGGCCCGGAAGGGCCACCGAACCTTTTCCAAGGGCGTCCAGGGGGCCGCCGAGACGTCCGAAAGGGCGTCCGGAGGGTCCCTGGGGGGGGGTCCGGTTTAGGGGGGGGTTCGGGGTGTGTGTGGGGAGGGGGGTTCCAAGTAATACAAATATAAGAATAGGAATATGTATATACAACACATAGTCAGGAGGATGAAGGCGAGGACGAGGATGATTAACCGTGCATTGGCGAACGAGGACGGACAATAAGGGAGGAGCAGGAGAAGAGGGAGGAACAAGACCAATACGAATCATAAGAAAAACCCGCGATTCGCCACCGTGCCTCTGGGCACTGAGTGGGCGTGTCCTCAGGTCCTCTGCCTGATCCCTGGAGCCTCAGCCTTCAGTGCAGGGGCCCGGACCCCAAATTCTGCAATTCGGCGGGGCTCCCGGCGTGCCCCTGAGGGGGAAGAGAGGGGAGGAAAAAGGGTGATCACAAAAAGCGCAGATCATATTCTGAGCATTTTCTTAGGGTGGAGGGCCCAGGGTGAAATCCATATGGGCTTTTGCAACTCGAAAATCAATCCGTCTTGTGATTCACCTTTTGGAGATGCAAGTCTCGAACATCCATCGAAACGACATTTCAGATCTCACCCTTTGCCCTCCACCCAAAGAGAATGCTCGGATATTGATCTTCATACTTTGCTGAAAGAATTTAGCGTTCTCGCCTGTTTAGCTTTCCGAAGCCCCAAGACGGCCCAGGAGGCCCCCAAGACCACACCAGAACGCCCAAGAACCCTCCAAGAGGGCCCCAAGAAGGCCAGAGAGCGCCCCCAAACGGCGCAAGAGGCGCCAAAGACAGCCCAAGAGGGCTCTAAATTGGCCCCAAAAGATGCCCACGAGAGGGAACACGAACCGAAACTCCTAGCCTTCCGCCCCAAGAGGCCCCCAGGAGGCCCCAAGAGGCGCCCAAGAGGCCCCAGGAGGCCCCCAAGATGCCCCAAGAGGCCTCCAAGAGGCTCAAAAGAGGACTGGCTCCGGACCTCCAGGGTAGGCTTGGAACTAGCGAGGTGCCGAGATCAAACCCTACGTCTAATGCAACGATGATTCATCGACGTCGCGGTGCGGCCTTGGAAATCCGCGATGCATCGGCGATGCGGTGGTGAAATCCGCTCGATTATTCAATACCTTTTTGCACCACTGACGATGCTTCTGATTCCTTGGGGCCTCCTTGTGGATCGCTCCGGCACTTGCACATCGTGCCGCGCGCCCAGGGCTTCGTTGCCATCAAATCTGCCCATCAGACTGGCAGCCGTCTCGTTGTCACGTGAGCTCCCTACGCGAGCCTTGTCCCAACGGTGCTTCCACGCAGGCCAGAAGCTGGCGGCGCTGCAGCCTTCGCTGCCTTCTCTGCAGCCCTGGCCTCCTCTTCGGCCGTGGCCGCTGCAGCCTGTGCCACTGCTGCAGTCTTCGCCGCCTCCTCGGCCGCCTCGGCCTCTGCGGCGGCCTTCGCCGCTTCCGCTGCCGCCTTGGCCGCCGCGGCAACCTTCTCGGCAGCCTTGGCTGCGGCGGAAACCTTAGGCGCCTTCTCTGCGGTCTTGGCATTCGCTGTGCTCTTTGCCGCAGCGACATTCCTCGCAGCCTCCGAAACAGCCTCGGCCTCCGCCTCCTCTGAAGCTCGGGCCTCCGCGGCAGCTTTCGCAGCCTGTTCCGCGGCCCTGGCCTCTGAAGCAGCCTTGGCGGCCTCGCCTGCGGCCTTGGCCTCCGCGGCAGCCTTCGCCGCCTTCTCTGCCGCCTCGGTCTCCTCGGCATCCTTCTCGGCAGCCTTGGCCTCCGCGAAAGCCTTGCCCGCTTCCTCGGCCGCCCAGGCATCTGCTGCAGCCTTTGCCGATTCGGCCTTCCTCGCCGCCTCCTCGGCCTCCTCGGCCTCCGCGGCAGCCTTCGCCGCCTCCGCTGCCGCCTTGACCGCCGCGGCAGCCTTCTCGGCAGCCTTGGCCTTCGATGCAACCTTAGACGCCTCCTCCGTGGTCCTGGCATTCGATGCAGCCTGTGCCGCTGCGACATTCCTCGCCGCCTCCTCGGCCTCCCTGGCTTCCGCGGCAGCTTTCGCAGCCTGTTCCGCGGCCCTGGCCTCTGAAGCAGCCTTGGCGGCCTCGCCTGCGGCCTTGGCCTCCGCGGCAGCCTTCGCCGCCTTCTCTGCCGCCTCGGTCTCCTCGGCAACCTTCTCGGCAGCCTTGGCCTCCGCGAAGGCCTTGCCCGCTTCCTCGGCCGCCCAGGCATCTGCTGCAGCCTTTGCCGATTCGGCCTTCCTCACCGCCTCCTCGGCCTCCTCGGCCTCCGCGGCAGCCTTCGCCGCCTCCGCTGCCGCCTTGACCGCCGCGGCAGCCTTCTCGGCAGCCTTGGCCTTCGATGAAACCTTAGACGCCTCCTCTGCATTCGATGCAGCCTGTGCCGCTGCGACATTCCTCGCCGCCTCCTCGGCCTCCCTGGCCTCCGCGGCAGCTTTCGCAGCCTGTTCCGCGGCCCTGGCCTCTGAAGCAGCCTTGGCGGCCTCGCCTGCGGCCTTGGCCTCCGCGGCAGCCTTCGCCGCCTTCTCTGCCGCCTCGGTCTCCTCGGCAGCCTTCTCGGCAGCCTTGGCCTCCGCGAACGCCTTGCCCGCTTCCTCGGCCGCCCAGGCATCTGCTGCAGCCTTTGCCGATTCGGCCTTCCTCGCCGCCTCCTCGGCCTCCTCGGCCTCCGCGGCAGCCTTCGCCGCCTCCGCTGCCGCCTTGACCGCCGCGGCAGCCTTCTCGGCAGCCTTGGCCTTCGATGCAACCTTAGACGCCTCCTCCGTGGTCTTGGCATTCGATGCAGCCTGTGCCGCTGCGACATTCCTCGCCGTCTCCTCGGCCTCCCTGGCTTCCGCGGCAGCTTTCGCAGCCTGTTCCGCGGCCCTGGCCTCTGAAGCAGCCTTGGCGGCCTCGCCTGCGGCCTTGGCCTCCGCGGCAGCCTTCGCCGCCTTCTCTGCCGCCTCGGTCTCCTCGGCAGCCTGCTCGGCAGCCTTGGCCTCCGCGAAAGCCTTGCCCGCTTCCTCGGCCGCCCAGGCATCTGCTGCAGCCTTTGCCGATTCGGCCTTCCTCGCCGCTTCCTCGGCCTCTTCGGCCTCCGCGGCAGCCTTCGCCGCCTCCGCTGCCGCCTTGACCGCCGCGGCAGCCTTCTCGGCAGCCTTGGCCTTCGATGCAACCTTAGACGCCTCCTCCGCATTCGATGCAGCCTGTGCCGCTGCGACATTCCTCGCCGTCTCCTCGGCCTCCCTGGCCTCCGCGGCAGCTTTCGCAGCCTGTTCTGCGGCCCTGGCCTCTGAAGCAGCCTTGGCGGCCTCGACTGCGGCCTTGGCATCCGCGGCAGCCTTCGCCGCCTCTGCCGCCTCGGTCTCCTCGGCAGCCTTCTCGGCAGCCTTGGCCTCCGCGAAGGCCTTGCCCGCTTCCTCGGCCGCCCAGGCATCTGCTGCAGCCTTTGCCGATTCGGCCTTCCTCGCCGCCACCTCGGCCTCCTCGGCCTCCGCGGCAGCCTTCGCCGCCTCCGCTGCCGCCTTGACCGCCGCGGCAGCCTTCTCGGCAGCCTTGGCCTTCGATGCAACCTTAGACGCCTCCTCCGTGGTCCTGGCATTCGATGCAGCCTGTGCCGCTGCGACATTCCTCGCCGCCTCCTCGGCCTCCCTGGCCTCCGCGGCAGCTTTCGCAGCCTGTTCCGCGGCCCTGGCCTCTGAAGCAGCCTTGGCGGCCTCGCCTGCGGCCTTGGCCTCCACGGCAGCCTTCGCCGCCTTCTCTGCCGCCTCGGTCTCCTCGGCAGCCTTCTCGGCAGCCTTGGCCTCCGCGAAGGCCTTGCCCGCTTCCTCGGCCGCCCTGGGGAACATCTTATATCCTCTGCTTCGGGCATGGGCCATGGGGGGTCTGGCCCCGGGTCCCTGCTTAGTCGATATGATTTGAGCTTTTTTTTGTTTTTTTTTGTTGTTTGAAAATTCAGATGCCCTGCACATGTTTTCTTCGAATCATGCTGCCAGAGCTGGAGAGGGCTGCGCCGGGGCTGTGCATGGGGCAGGGCAGGGGCAGCGCAGGGCAGGGGCACGCAGTGCTGTGCAGGGCCTGTGCACGCAGTCCTGTGCAGGGCAGGGGCACGCAGTGCTGTGCTGTGCACGCAGTGCAGGGCACGCAGTCCTGTGCAGGGCAGGGGCACGCAGTCCACTACGATGCTGCACAGGGTCCTCGGGCACACGGGGGAGGAAGGGGTCCGGAGGCATGTTTTCTGTTACCGCGCCGAGCGCCCCAGAGCCATTTCTGCGTGGCTCCAGGCGGCGCAGGACAGAAGCTACACCTAAGCGACTCTCGTTTCCCAAGGGGGGGGGGAAGGGGCGCGCACCCGCTTCGTCCAATCGATCGAGGCAGATGCCGAAGTTAGCGGCGAGCTTCTCTACTGGGGGGGGGAGAGGGATGAGGGGGATGAAGAAAACATGAAGAACGCTCGCCTGGCATCTGCTGCAGCCTTTGCCGATTCGGCCTTCCTCGCCGCCACCTCGGCCTCCTCGGCCTCCGCGGCAGCCCTCGCCGCCTCCGCTGCCGCCTTGACCGCCGCGGCAGCCTTCTCGGCAGCCTTGGCCTTCGATGCAACCTTAGACGCCTCCTCCGCGGTCCTGGCATTCGATGCAGCCTTCTCATTGCGGTCCTCCGTGATCGGTGCTGGCGCTGGCGGCGCCACAGCCTTCGCCGCCACGGCTTTCCTCTCTGCCTCTACGGCCTCCGCGGCAGCAGTCGCCGCCTCCTCTGCATGGCGCTTCTGCACTGCGTTGGCGCTGGCCCCCAATATCTTGCGCAACACATCAGCGCTCTCCCCTGATATCTCCTCGGGCCCGTCCCTGCCCGCCTCGTCCACGATCTGGATGGCGACAACCGCCCGCAGCAGCACGGCTGCGACCGCGGCCCGAAGAGGAGCCATCATACCAAACATGTCGCCTCGGTGAAATGAATGCGCAACGGTTGGAGCAGATACGTTCCGTGTGGATGTTAAAGTACGCCTAGACTGCTGAGCCGAGACCGAGACCTCTGGAGCCACATCCTCTCACCGATCTTCCCCTGCATTACTGCTATGTGTGGTCTGTGCGTTGTCAGGATCGGGGCGCCGACCCCGCCGTCCCTTCTCCTCCAGCCTCCTCTCCTAACACACTACTTACTCGTCAGTACTCCTCTCCTCTCGCGATCTCCTGCTGGATCACCGCCCATGTTGGCCCGTCCCTTGTGCGTCTTACCCCCCCTAAAAAGAAGCCCACGTGAGCCCCACTGCCGGACGCATTCGCGTACGGGGTCCGCCGCTTTACGAGCCAGGAACCTCTTTGCAAACTTCAAGCCCCTGCGGGGGCGGGGCAGCTGCGCAACTAGCAGCCAAGCGCAGCGCGATGATTGAGAATGACCTCCGGCCCGTCTGTGGAAACTTCGCCGACCCCGTGGGGCTCCTCGACGTGTGAGAAAGTCGTCACTCACGGCATTGGCGAAGAGGTAGCACCCGTTCTTTCCAGGAGTTGACATCCCGGGAATTCCGGGAGCCAGAACCTACGAATTGTAGGAGCTGTGATCCGCCGTTGCCTTCATCGGTGGCGCGTGGGGTCTTGTTGAGAGTAAGATTAAAAGCCCGAGTGTCCACTTTTAGAAACTCTACGCCTCCATGAAGAAATCCAAAACCTCCTCAATGGTCCTTTGGAGTGTTCCGTAACGACCCTGAACGGCCCCTTGGGGGCCTTCCAGATCCCTTCCAGAAATATTCAAGGCGCCCTTCATATGCCCTTCCAGAAGCCCGTAAGGGACCTTCCAAAGACCCTGAAAGCGGCCTTCCTGGGGCCTTCCAGAAGCCCGCAGGTGCCCGCCAGAGCCCCCCTGAGCAGCCCGCCGAAACCGTAAAAGCCAGTATGGCGTCAGCGGCCCTCCAGAGATCCTGCAGCCCCCCCCCCCCCCCGGAAGACCCTCTCTCTTTCCAGGGAGCCTGGGGAATGCGGCCGCGGGCGCCTCCTGGCCGAAAGTCCAGCACACCGAGCCAGCGCACCTGGGCGCCCAGGGAGCGCCCACGGGGGCCCGCCGGCTGAAAAAGGCTGGGCACGCGCGCTTGCGCACGGGGCGCCCATGGGGCGCCCACCCACCGGGCTCAGACCTGGAAGCGCCAGCGAACTGATCCGCGGCGGAGCAGCTTCAAGTGGTCCGAAAGAGAGGGGGTCCTTGTTGTGGAAGCGGGCTGGCCCTGGTGGAAGCGGGGCTTGCCCGGCTGGGGCCAGGCTTTCATCCCGAACCGTTTTCTGGCGGTCCCATGGCCCTGGGATAGAGGGCAGAAAATCCGCCCCGATAATAACGACCCCGACACGCGAAGCCGTTTAGTAAACGAACCCGAAGAAGGAATCAAACAAGGCAGGGTTGTTTAGTAAACGACCAAGGCCGTTTAAGAAACGCCAATTGTCCGATCCAGGTGGTTTTCTCTCCCTTGATGGGAGGGCCCGGGGAGCCGGAATGGGGTGATTACCCCTCCAGCCCTGACATCTGCCGATGTGGTTTTCCAATCTGCGGCCCAACAATGCACAACCGCGTCCCTGGGGGCAGCTTAAAACACCCAATCGTCGGAGATCTGGGAGGGGACCCTTTCCTCCAAGACCCCTTCACTTAGATGCTCGAGTTGTCCAGCGTAGCTCCTGTCTGGGGCAACCCCAGTTTGGGCCCCCGAGGCGCGGATCAGGAGCTACTCTGGATCACCCCCAGCCCCGATGACTCGTGAGCTGGACGCCCAAATGATCCTGGATAACGCTGGTCCAGGGCAACTCCGGCTGGGGCCCCCCGAGGCACGAATGAGGAGCTCCTCCGGACCGCCGCCTGCGCCACTGTCATCGTCGTCGTCCCCCTGCAGGGTCGGCGGCACCAGGCGTAAGGCCTTCGTGATCTGGAGCCACAGCCGAACATGTGAGCAATGATAGTACAATTCAAAACATCTGGGCCATCTTCCTGGAAGTTTCTTGAAAGAAGTCTGGGCTAATCTCTGTCGCTGACGCTGGCGGGGCGAACGTGCTCAAGAGACCTGGCCAGCTTTTCGGGCGGAGGCTTCTCGATCGGATGCTCGACTGCACTCCGGACCAACCCCAGCCCCGATGACTCGGCGACCTTCCGCCCCCAGGCCGCTCTCCTGGCCGCAGCTGTCGCCGGCGTCGGCGCCTCGGGGCCGCTCGCCTCGGCGCGGCCGCCGCGTCGGCGGGCCCCGGCGTCGGGCGGCGAGCACCCCGGGCGCTGGAGCGGCGAGGAAGGCAGGCCACCCATCACTGGCGCAGCGCGGCCGAAGCGGCGCGACGTGCCGTCGTCTTCGCGCCCTCGCGAGGTCGCCGTGGAGAAGGGCGGCTCTCCGGCCGAGGCCGCGGCGCGCGAGGCGCGGCGATCTCTGTGTGCCCTGGTGCGGCCCAGAGAAGCATCGCCGACGGAAGCGGACCGTTCACTGATTCTCTGTGCGAACTGGGGTCGGGGCTCTCCTCGCGGTAGGAGCGCGTCTCTCGTGGCTGGGCCCTTAGATCGGCCACAGCTCTGCCGACAGAGGGCAGGGGATGCCGAATGCATGTGCACACCTGGGGCTGAAGTGGTCCGCAGGGAACAGAAGAGGCGGGAGATGGGGAGATCCTTGCGGATTTGTGGGAACAGTGGGACAAAATCAACGCAACGACACACTTTCGGAAAACGTCCTCGGACCACGACCAGTCTCACGCCTAGCATGAAGGCTAACCATCATCGAACTGCATCCTTGAGGAGAACGTCCGAATTCAGGCGGGATGGTGCTGATGAGCTCTCAGCGTGGCATCGCGGCTCGACGAAGTAGAACTCTGCCCGATGTAACACTAGGTCGGGGCTCTGTGGCTGTTGCCCCCCAGGTCCGAGGCGTGTCAATCTGACCCTGCATCCCTGAGGACCCGAAGATTTTCACATCATCAGCTTGGGCGCCACTTATGCAAGACCCCCGCTCGACCTGCAATCGCTATGACAGTACTCCGTCTCGGCTCCCAACGCGTGAGAAGAAGCTGCCGCGAAGCGGGTCCTGGGAAAGACAAAGATCGGTTGCACCTGAAGCCAATGTGATCTTGCCCACAGGGTGAAACGAGGAGGGACGGATGCACTTGGAACCCGGTTCCGCCCTCACCCTGTGCAGGGCCACTTCCTCCTCCTGTTTGGTCACGAGCAGGGGTCTATCTTCGAACCTAGGTCAATGTGCTGAGAGGCCTCTAGATCAACAACTGCGCGGACCGATGACGTGACATCACCCCTCTTTAATAATGCAGCCTTCCACAGGGAAGCGGCCTGGGCACAGACCCAACGGGACCGCACACACTGCGGCCGCAGCACCCCCCTCGAGAACAAGACAAGGGCAGCTCGCGGAGCGCCTCGGCGAGGTGGGGATCCCACCGCTCGCCGTCGCTCGGTTAGCCATTCCCCGCGCCTTTTTCGGTTTCGTGTGTGTGTGTGTGTGTGTGTGTGTGTGCGCGTGTGTGTGTGTGTGTGTGTGTGTGTGTGTGTGTGTGTGTGTGTGTGTGTGTGTGTGTGTGTGTGTGTGTGTGTATGTGTGTGTGTGTGTGTGTGTGTGTGTGTGTGTGTGTGTGTGCGTGCGTGTGTGTGTGTGTGTGTGTGTGTGTGTGTGTGTGTGTGTGTGCGCGCATCTTGCCGCAAGATGACCCGAACTGCTCCTCGATGGCCCCCCCTCGAAAGAAGATGCACACGCACGAGCGATGCCAAGCCTCCGATTCCCACGGCACGCACCCGCCCCTCGCACGGCCGACGAGGCCAGCGGCCCGCCTGCCAAGGCGACGAAGGCACCGCGGCGGGGATGACCATTCTGGCGGCATCAATGCTCGACGCTTGGGCAGGCCTGACCTCTGGCCAGCCTGGCAAATTTCGCAATTGGGCCAGTCGGACCTGGCAGCTGGGGCCCTCCGCAGCCCAGAAGCGCGCGTCTCCCGAGCGTGTTTGTGCCTTCTTGCCCGCTGCCCCCCCCCCCCAGATCCGATGCCGCGAAGCAGTTGCGAGCTCGCGACACATCACGACCAGAGCCTTGAGCCGAGCCGGCTCGATCTGTGATGGCGCTGGGGCCCGAATCCCAGACCCCCAACGCTATGATTTTTTCATTGCGTCGACCCCCCGAGGTCTCGACCTATTCCCCAGGACCGGTTTCTCAGCCCGAGTCGTTTTTTGGCGGTCCCGAGGCCCGGGAAGGGCCCCGAGGGGGCGAAACTAGCGAAAAACCTCCCGTGATGTTTTTTTCATTGCTCGAGGGGGTCTGGGATCGTGGCCGACTCGCCCGACGCGAAGAGCACGACGAGGCGAGGCTCCGAGGGCCCGCGCCCAAGCGAGGCGCCGAGGAGCGAGGCCGAGCCCGGCCGTGCCCCGGCGGGGCCCCCCCGCACGGGAGCGCCCGCCGGACCGGCCCTCCGGGCGCCTCTTCGGGGCGTGGCGCGGCGGCGCGCGGGCGCTCTTCGGGGGGGCCGTGGCGGGCGGGGGGCGCACTCGCAGAGGCGACCTCCAGCGGGCCCATCCTGCCAGTGCGGACCCCGAGATCCGCTGCCTGGGTTTTTCCCTGAGGGCGTCTCGTCGCGGGGTTTCAGCTGTGGTTTGAAAATCAGCACCGCTGGAGAGTTCCATGGGGCGGACGGAGAGCCCGAGGGCGCCTGGTCCGGCAGCCGCCTCGCCTGAGACTGTATCACGATTGGATCAGGAACCGTGCTCTCGCCTCAGTGCTGGCTACATACTTGGTCCAGACGGCCACGACCCCTGGGAAAACATCCCCGAAGGTGCACATCGCTGTGCTCTCACCGCTGTCCCGAGAAAGCCATATTCAGGAATCCCTCGGAATACCTCGGAATGCACGTTTGCACTCGCCGACCTCCTACTCCTCGACCTGCCTATTCACCTTTGCTACTATCAGGGTGCTTTGCTGGGGTAATCTGACGACGGGGTCCCCGGAAGTCCAGACCCTTTCTTCGGGGCCAGCTTTTCATCCTGAGTCGTTTTTCGACGGCCCCGAGGCCTGGCGAGGGCGCCCAGACGTCGAAAATTACTCAGCAAAGCACTCGACTAGCAGCACAGGTGACGAGGGGAGTAGGAGGTCGGGATACGGCCATGTCCACCTTGGCGTACCTTTTACCTGGGATCGTGGTTGTCCAGAAGACATGCCGCGTTGAGGCGAGAACGCGATTCCCGCACAAGCTGTGAGGAAGTCTCGTGCGGAATGGCCGCCAGACGGGGTGCCCTAAGGCTCCCGGCCCCCCCCTGGGACTATCCTTCACTTCTCTCCAAAGCACACCGAAAACACTGTCACAGGCCTCCCGCGGAACGCTGCCAGGGAGCTGCGGGAAGCCTCCGCCCCGCTCCTCCCTCAGCAGCTGCCGATTTAGGGGGGGGGGGGGGGGGGCGGGGGGGGCGCGGCGCGCGCGCACGCGCGCGCAAAAAAAGCAGGAGCACGGCGCGCCACGGGCCGCGAGCTCGGAGGCCGCCGCAGTGGGCGCGGCGGGGCAGAGCTCCTCCTCCTCGCCCAGCGGCGCCGCGACCGGCGCCTGCCGCCCACGCGGCCCCCCCGCGCAGAGCGCGCCGCCTCGGCGCCGCCGCCGACCGTTCGCCCCGCCCCCCGCCAGACCTGCGCTGGCGGCGCGCACCAGGGCCCCGAGGTCCTGGGCGCCGCACTGCTCTCGAGCCTGGCGTGCTCGCCAGGCTTCGGGCCCCGGGAGCCTCACACATCTCGCTCTGCGTCGAGCGAGGGCGCAGGAAGATGGAGCCTGGGGCTCGGGCCGTGGTGTTTGACGACGTCTCTCTATCGTCTCGCGCCGTCGCATCTCAGGGAGGGTGTGTGGGGGGGGAAGGCTTCTTGGAAGGAGGCTGCTTCCGAGGAGGCGCTGGCACTGCATCCATAGATAGGGTCCGCGCCTTCTAAGAGGCAGGGGGGCTTCTAAGACGCCCTCCGCCCTCCCCCCTTCCCCCCTCTCTGCGCGTGGCTGACTCAAGCCTCTACTCGGTCCAAGGCCAGCCGAAAACCGACTGGCCCGGTGCGGAAACCAGAACAATTGGCCAGGCGCCGCTGCGGAACCGACCAGCCTGGCTCGACAGGCCAGGCATTGCCGCAGCCCCGCTCAGTGACCGCTCTTTGAGGAACGCCCCTCGGGGCTCACCGGATACGGGGCCTGACTGGCCCGGACTGGCGATGCCCACAACTTGCAGACCGACTCGCCCGGACTGGCCTGACCAGACCGCAACGCCAGAGACAGGACCGACCCGCCCAGGAAGAGGCTTGAGACCTCCAATGTATTGAAAATCACCCAAGCAAAATACCCCAATAGCAGCAAAAATGAAGAGGCGGGACAGTGGTGGGAGCAGCAAGGGCGAGGGTGAGAGCACGGCCATGTGTACTTCCGTGAATTTTCTGCGAAGGATCGTTGCCGTCCAGACCAAGCATGTAGACGGCATTGAGACGAGAGAACGGCCATGTGCACCCGAGTGTATTTTCTAGAAGGGGTCGTGGCCGTCTGGACCAAACATGTACCCAACATTGAGGCGAGAACACGATTCTGGGGACCAGGCGGTCTGGGACTCCCCGCCCTCCCTGTGGAACCCTTCTGCTATCCTATTTTACCCGATCAGAACACTTGAACGAAACGCTACGAGGGAAACATCCAAACGGGAACTTGTCCTCGTTCTCAACCTCTCGGCGCCTTCCCCGAGGCCGCCAAGGCCGAAAGGCTCGGCACTTCCAGGGGCCCCGCACTGAAAGCATGAAAGCGTCGGAGCTCTGGGCTCCCGTGGGGCTGGCTTCGAGCCGCTCTTTGACGGTCCCAGAGCCGGGGCCGAGATCGACGACGCGCCCGGTCGTCACGACTCTTGTCGCGACGCCTGGATCCGGGGGTCCGTCCCAGGCACGCCACAACACACCAGCGCGCGACCAGGCTCCAGCCCAACGTGGTGTACAGCAGGCACATCGGACAAGATGTCTCGCTGTGAAACATTCGGGGGAACATCCTTCGTCGACTCCGACCTTCGCAAGGTGCCGCAGGGGCCATCCGCAGGTCATTTCAAGCTTCCTTATTTGGTGTTGGACATCCTCTTTGAACCTCGACTTCCAGGAGGAGGTGATGAGCCCCCTCAGCACTGCAGAATTGGTGACGGTCCCCGGGCCCCCAGAGCCCGAAGACGGGGGGGCCCTGACGTGCGACGATATGACTTCTCTCAATCCGCGGCCACAGAGGTCCCGTCCCATTCCCCAGGGGGTGGCGCTTCGTCCCAGATGCGCTTCTGATGGCCCTGGGGTCAGAAATCGACACCCGAGGGCCGAAATCGAGAAAAACATAACGATTGGAAAATCGTGTCGTCGGATTTCTTCTGGGGACTCTGATTTCCTCACCATGTGAGGGGCAACGATAGGGAGGACTGACGTAAGGGGGGGAAACATTGACCTGGAGTCGACGATACATCGCCGACAGATCAGCGATAGGCGCCCGATAGCGACGCCGCACGTTCCTGGGCGCGGTGGGGCTATCAGACCCCAATCGGCGATCAATGGACGATGCGGGGTCGAAGCATCCCCCCCTTGAATTAGGGGGACGAAGAATGACACACCCACACAAAAAAATAACTCGGAGGTCCGCTCGGATTTCTCGGATCGGCGCTGTTCGTTTCCCTACTTGTGCCTATCCCCACCTATCGCTGGCCCTGACCATGGATGTGCGGTGCATCTGAGTATCGTGTAAGCGATCCCCATCCCCGGCGGCGTGGCCTGGGCCCCACTGGCCGATTTCCCCCCCCCCTGGACGGGGATGTAGGCCGTATCCTCCGGGTACCGAGGGGTGCATCCCCAACTGGAGGGGTAATTTGGTGGGGGTCTCGAAAGGGATGGGGATGGGGATTGGGATGTTTTTTTTTTTTTTTTTTTTTGTTCTTTTTCTTTTTTCTTCCTCCAGAGGCGGGCACGGTACCAGGCGAACGGTACCAGGCGAACGGCGCCCGCCGTCGCACGCTCGTGGCCCCCCCTCCCTCGCCCGCCCTCTCGCGCGCGAGCCTTGGGACCCTACCCGCTCCGCAGGCGGACGAGGCTTGCCAGCGCCTACAGGCCCCCGAAGATACTCGAAAACATCGATGCCGAGCCTCTGCGCCCGCCCGCGACGAGCACTCGGAGCCCGACGCCGACACCCTCCCGGAAGCCCTCGCGCTCTCCGGGGGCGCTCCAGCCGCCCCCCCGCGGCCCTCCCCCCCTCCCCGCCCGCCCCGCCCTCCCCCCTTCCCGCGTGCCCACGTCTGCAGTCGGGCATGCGTCCCTCTGCAGGAGGAGTCTCCAAGGGTAGTACACAAACACAGTCAGGGCACGATTCTCTCGTGCCCTGCTTTGGCTATTCTCGAATCGTTTTTTGACCATGTCTGATTTTTCTTCCAGAGCCCGCCCGTCGGAGGACATGCCCGACCTGACCCAAGTCGCACCCGTCGTGCCCCGTCGTTCGCAGACCGCCTGCGGGAGCCAGCTCTCCGCCGATCCAGAAGTCTGGGGGCCCTGCCTCCGAGACCCCCCCTTCGAGGAACGAGAAACAACTCGCGACGGACAGTTTTTCGCCATTTTCCGCCTCTGGGGACCCTGGCCCCAGACCCCTCGAGGAACGAAACACATCGTGACGGACACTTTTTCGCCATTCTCCGCCTCTGGGGACCCTTGCCAGGCCTCGGCACCGTGAAACAACGCCTCGGGAAGAAAAACCGGTTCCGGGGAACGGGTCGAGACCTCTGGAGGTCGACCTTGATGACAAAATCATGACGGCTCGGGTCTGGGCCTGGCGAAGCTCGCAGCCGAAGGCGCAAGAGCCTGTCAGACGCCGCCCTCGCCCCCCCCAGGGTTAGGTCGGGCATGTCCCCCTACAGGCGGATTTTGGACGAAAACAAGAGAAAGTAAACAAACTTTCCAAAATTGTCAAACATATTTTTAAAAATCGTCCCCATCTGATTTTTTTGACTATTTTTGAATCTTCCTCCTGTGGAGGGACAGGCCCGACTTAACCCCAGGGCCGGTCGTCCCTGGGGGGTTCGTCAAACTAGAGACGGGCGACTCCCGAGCCGGGCGACTCCCGGAACGCTCGCTCTCCAGGAGTCGCCGGCTGGCGGGAAGGAAACGTGAAGGCATCGGCTGCACGTAAGAGTGACCCTGGGTAAGAGTGACCTTTGGTGCGCGGCCTTTTGGGGGGCGCGAAGGGTCACTCTTACGTCTAATCGAGGGCAGTGCGACCCTGTCTGGCGACCTTTCCTCGCCGCCACCCGGCGGCCCCCCCCCAGCCGCCCCTCCGCGTAGCCAGCGGCCGCGCTGTTGAGCGCGGTGGCGCCGAGGGCGCCGCTGCCCGCGGCCTCCAGGCTGCTGCGGCTCCACCTGCTGGCTCTGCGGGGCCGCAGCGCTGTGAAGCCGTTCGGGGAACAGGAAGAGTAAGACGAAGCCAGGACGAGGATAACATCAAGGGATGAACAATCGAGAATCTCTGAGCTCCCGCGGTTCGGAGGGATGCATCGGGCGCCGGGTAGGCCTAGGGTAGGCCTTGCCTGGGCGATCCATGTGGAGGCAGGTCATCTTTACCAAGAGACCCACTTGTACATCGCAGCGCACTTGGCGCTTGTACAATGCGACCGGATCATAAGGATGCGCGGTAAAGATTGGAGGCCCTTGGACGCCCAAATTGAAGCCGAAGCTGGAAACCCATGGTCCGTGCCTGAGGGTGACCGTTATGATCCTTCTGAAGTCCGAAGTTGGACGGGCCGAGGCGCAAGTATGACCCGAATCCTTATCACCAGGGGATAGTTACTCATACTTTCGATGCTGTTTGGTGGTGCGTATCACAGGAGGCGGCTCCAGAAACCACTGCCACTGTGCCATGCACGCCGAACCGATTCGCGGCACGGTGGGTGCGCCTGGCCTACTTCTTGCTTAGGCCAGTCCAGTGCATCGTGCGAAGCAATCGTCCGCTTCCATCCCAAACTTTGGTTTTGAACGACATCGTGGTGCGCATGCAGCCAGCGGGCTGAACCGTTCTTGGCGATCCGTTGCAATCGTCAAGCCTAGGAGGCGTTGGTGGTACTGTCCTGCGCAGAGGCCCTGCCAATCCAAACCATGCGAATGCTCCCATCGCTGCTGGCAGCCCCCGGTCTTGCTTATTCTGTTGCCAGCCTCAGCCTATGGCAAAGAAGCTACCTACCAAAACGACACCCTTTGCGACCACGCCTTCCCAGAATTCCGATGCGATGTTTTTATTCAGTACGCGGTCCCCGAAAGTCCCGACCTTCACCCCGAGTCGTTTGTTGACAGTCCTGGGGCTCGGTGAGGTAAGACGAGGATAACATCGGGTGAAGGTAAATCGAATCTCTGAGATCCCGCGGCTCTGGAAGATGTCCCGGGGCGCCGCGGCCTTCTCGGAGCGTTCCCGAACGCTCTGAGAGCGTTCCAGAACGCCCTGGAACGGATTCATCCTCGTCCCAGCCCCGCCCGGCGAGGGCCCCCCGAGGCCGAACACCTGGAAAAGCCGCCGTCTTGGTCCATCTTGTCAGACCGCCGGATCCGAGCGTCGCTGTCCGCACAGCGGCTCCTGCAGAGCCGAGCCCCCCCCGCAGGAGGCGGCTCAAGAGCAGCGGCCGGCGCGCCTCCGCGCGAGGCCTGGCGCGTGCTGCGCCAGCGTGCAGGGGGCGTGCGGAGCAGCGCCGGGAGAGGCGAGCCGGGGAGGGCCAGGAGAGACACCAGCCTCCGCAGCGCCGTGCTGGGTGTGGCGGACGCCCGTGGCCACCCCGACTGGGGCCTCACGTGGGGCTCCCCGTGGGGCCACGGAGCGCTGTGCTGGGTGTGATGAGGCACGTACGTGGCCACCCTCACTGGGGCCTCACGTGGAGCTCCCCACGGGGCCACGAAGCGCTGTGCTGGATGTGGCGGACGCATGTGGCCACCCCCACTGGGGCTTTGGGAGGAGGAGGAGGAGGAGGAGGAGGAGGAGGAGGAGGAGGAGGAGGGGGAGGAGGAGGAGGAGGAGGAGGAGGAGGGAGGAGGAGGGGAGGAGGAGGAGGGGGGGGGAGCGAGGAAAAGCGGCAGCAGCGACGGCGAGCGAGGAGAGTCGCCGGCTCCGGCAGCTGCAACGATAACTGGGAGGGGATCCGCTTGCCCAGGGGGATACCGCAAGCCCCTAGGAGGTTGGAGGAGGACCAAGGAGGATGATGAGGATCAGAAGCAAAATGAAACACACACACAACAATATCATGAACTTTCGGATCTCCGATCTCCGACCGGATTTCTGGTGTCGGGCGCCTCTGACGCGCCAAAGGAGAGGGTCCACCGCCAACCCAAGAGATCCGCGGGGACCTCTGATTTTTTTTCTGTTTTTCGCGATCATCCTGTGGTGTTGGGTCTTCGTTTTGAAGAGACAGCGCCCCGCGTCTCCTCTTCTCTCCTCTCCTCTCCTCTCCTCTCCTTTCCTCTCCTCCTCCTCCCCCTCCTCCCTCCTCCCCCTCCTCCCTCCCATGTTGGCACACCCCTCACACGCTTCGTGGCCCCATAGGGAGCTCCACCGAAAGCCCCAGTGGCGGTGTTCGCATGCGTCCCCGCTACCCATGTCGGCACACACCTCGCACTCTTCGTGGCCTCATAAGGAGATCCACCGAAGGCCTCAGTGGCAACGTTCGCATGCGTTCCCGCACCCGGTTCGGGACACCGCTCACACGTTTCATGGTTCCACAAGGAGCTCCACCGAAGGCCACAGTGGCGTCCGTATGCGTCCCCGCATCTGATTCTGGACACCACTCACGCGTTTCGTGGCCCCATGGGGATCTCCACCGAAGGCCCCTCTGGCGGTGTTCGCATGCGTCCCGCCACCCATTTCGGCACACCCCTCAACGTTTCGTGGCCCCATAGCGAGCTCCACCGAAGGCACCAGTGGCGGTGTTCGCATGCGTCCCCGCACACGATTCCCCCCCCCTCCCCACATGTTTCATGGCCCCATCGGGAGCTCCACCGACGGTACCAATGGTGGTGTTCGCATGCGTCCCCGCACCCGATTCGGCACGTCCCCCACACGTTTCATGGCCCCACAGGGAGATCCACCGAAAGCCCCAGTGGCGGTGTTCGCATGCGTCCCCGCTACCCATGTCGGCACACACCTAACACGCTCCGTGGCCTCATAAGGAGATCCACCGAAGGCCTCAGTGGCAGTGTTCGCATGCGTCCCCGCACCCGATTCGACACACCCACCACATGTTTCATGGCCCCACGGGGAGCTCCACCGACGGCACCAGTGGCGGTGTTCGCATGCGTTCCCGCACCCGATTCGGGACACCGCTCACACGTTTCATGGCCCCACAGGGAGCTCCACCGAAGGCTCCACTGGCGGTGTTCCCATACGTCCCCGCCGCCCATTTCGGCACACCCCTCACACGTTTCGTGGCCCCACAGGGAGCTCAAGGGAAGGCCCCAGTGGCGGTGTTCGCATGCGTTTCCCCCGCCCACTACACTGTTTCGTGGCCCTATAGAGAGCGCTGCCGAAAGCTCAAGCTGCGACGCCCGCATGCGTTCCCCGCTGCCTCGTACAACATTTCATGGCCCCTATCGGGAGCTCCACTGGAGACCCTGGGGGCGACGTTTTCATGCGTTTCCCACCCGCAATGCATCGCTTCGCGGCCCCATAAAGACTTCAGAGGCGACGCCCGCATGCGTATCCCTTACCCAGTGCAGCGTTTCGTGGCCCATAGGGAACTCCACCGAAGGCCCCAAAGTCGACGTTCGCATGCGTTTCTACCGCCCAGTACAGCGTCTCGTGGCCCCATGGAGAGCTTAGTCGAAGGCCCTAAGAAGGCCGACGTTCGCATCCGTTTCCCCCGCCCAATACACCGCTTCGTGGCCCCCTGGGAAGCTCCACCGAGGACCCCAGTGGCCGCGGCCGCATGCGCTTTCCACACCCAGTGCAACGCTTCGTGAACCCACAGGGAGCACCACCGAGGACCCCAGGGGCCGCGGCCGCATGCGTCCCCCACATCCAGTGCACTGTTGCGTGGCCCCATGGGGAGCCCCACTGAAGACTCAATGGCCGCGGCCGCATGCACCTCCCCGTGGCCCTATAGGGAGCTCCACCGAAGACTCCAATGGCCACGGTCGCATGCGTTCCCCCACCCAGTACAGCGTTTCGTGGCCCCATAGGGAGCTCCCCCGAAGACCCCCATGACCACGGCCTCGCGCGCCTCCCCCCACTCATAACGGCATTCTCCTAACACGTTTCGTGGTCTCATATGCTTCATCGAAAGTGGTACCCACACCGCGGAACTCACAACTGCATATGGTTGGGTCCTTCGCCTGGAATTGTTTTGTCCTTCGACAAAGAAAAAAACAGTAGCAGGAGAGGGTGGAAGAGCAGGGGAACAAGAAGAGCTGCATAATAGTGTATTGCTTGGCCGCTGGGTCTCACAGTGGCCATGCGCAAACAAAGTGAGGATGACCATGACTGCCGATGAGGCCCATGAAAACGGGGTACAAGCAAAGAAGATCGCGCGCATGCTCTGGCACCTGTGGGTGAACCCGCGCAACGTGTTCAGCATGCGCGGCACCTGATCGTGCCGTACCGCTTTTGAGCTACCCAGCTGGCCCATTCCTCTGCATCTTCATTCCTCTCCCCCTGCAAGCAACCATCCTGACGCGCCCTGTGGGAAGGTCACCATCTGGCGGATCATAGAAATCCTCTGCAATTGTACAAGTGAACGAATGCGCAGCCACGCTGGGACAGATCTGCTGTCCTGTGTGCATGGTGCGAACTGGCATGCTCTGGCTCCCGTCGACTCTTGGGTGCCTTCTCTATGTAATGCCCTCTTCTGCTCTCCTGTCCTGTTTCGTTTCGTTTCCCGTCGGCCACTGTCTCCAATGCCCTCCAACTGCATCTATGTATGCATGTGTGCATGCATACACATATATGTATATTGAAGAAACTAGTGCTGCGCGACGCGTAACAAGTCATATCATATCAAAAGTGCCACTCAACCATCCTCGTGGTGGAGCTCCCTCTGGGCAACTGCTCCTAGTGAGAGGCTTCCACTGCGCCAACAATGCACTACACGCAATGCCGCCCGAGAGAGACGACAAGAGCCGGGTCCAGCGGTGGCGACCTCGGGGGCACGCGGTGCCTGCCCGGGCGCAGCGTGAATAGCCGAGTCCAGCGGCAGCGAACGTCGTAGCGGCACTGCGGGGGCAACGAACCCAATCCAGCCGTGGCAGGCGCCGTGCCAGTGGGCACGGCAGGAGAAACATACAAATCGTCGTAATGGCACGCTGGGGCCGAAGCATGCCAGGGTATCGTGTATATCCGCCGATCCGGCGTGTGAGTTTCAAGGAGTCTCAGCTACAGCCTCGAGGCTGAGCCTCAGCCTCTGGGGGGGTTGCCGGGGTGGCTCTGCCGGGGAAGGGGGGGTGGGGGGGGGGGGGTGCGAGTTTCCGGCGGATGCGTTTTTTGACACCCCTCACAAGGATCGTGGCCTCCGAGGGGGTTCCGAACTCGAGTACCACCCCTCCCGCACCAAGAGGCTCCGAGGAGGCCTCCAAGAGGCCCCAAGGGGCGCAGAAGAGGCCCCCAAGAAGCCCCAAGAGGCTCCCAAGAGACCCCCAAGAGGCCCTCTAGTGGCCCCAAGAGGCCCAAGAGGCCCCCAAGAAGCCCCAAGAGGCGCCCAAGAGGCCCCCAGAAGTCCCAGCCAACCACGAGATCCCAACCAGCATCCATGAGGCCTCTGACCCACCACCCACGCACGGTGGCGGGATAGGCCGACGGCCACTGGATAAATGCTGAGTGAGAGGAGGGGAGGGAAAAAGAGAGGAGGGACGAGGGCGAAGAAGGATCACATCAGTCGGAGCGCCCCGGATCGGCGGCACTGGCCGAAGGCCACTACAATATATATATATATATATATATATATATATATATATATATATATATATATAAAAAAAAATACACATACTGGTGCCCGCTTGTGCCCGCGGGCTATCGGTGTGTATACAGACACACATATAGATATATGTACATACATACGTACATACATACGTACATGCATGAGTACTCGTATGCATACATACATACACGCATGCACACATACACACATGCATACATACAAACAGACAGACAGACAGACCGACAGGCAGACAGAGAGGCAGACATACAAACATACACACATTCATTCATTCATGCATGAAACATGCATACATACATGCAGACATACAAACAAACATACATACACACATGCATGCACACATACATGACTTACACACATATTCATGCATATATACAAACGAACATTAATTACACATACCCACATATATATATATATACATGCATATATGTGTATATATATATATATAGACACATACTGCCGCACACATACTCTCTCTATATGTGTTTCCTCTTTTAATTATCTTACACCAGGAAGCTTACACAGATGGGCGCCGCCCTTCAAAAAACAAAGAATCTGGCGGGCCCCAGAGGCCCCAGGGGTCCCTGAAGCTCTCTCTGGTCCTCCACTTGGGCCTCCCAGGCCTCGCGGCCCCCACTTGGGCCGCCACTTGGGCCCCCTGGACCTCGCGGAGCGCTGCGGCGAGGGTGACATTCTGAAGCAGCGGAGCAAAGGCCGATCCCCAAATGAGGCGCACGCTGCAGCGGCAGCACCATTTCGAGACGTCGAAAGCCTCCACATTGAAACAAGTACACGAAAGACCAGCTCGTGAAACCCTTTCGAAAAAAAACGCGGAGGGGTGGGCTGCTCCCAGCCATCTTCGGGGGCGAGAGGAGGGTAGTACGCATATTGAATAACTGTGGTGGTGGGGGAAATGGTGGTGATGAACGGTGGCCTTGCAGTCAATGCGTGCCCACGGGAAACGACACGCGAAACCTCAAAACTTGAATTCGAGGGAGCCCGACCAAGGCGCGATGCGCCTATGGCGCTTCTCACGCGCGGCCAAACGATTAGCGTAGGAGGGGGGAGGAGGGAGGAGGGGGAGGAGGGAGGAGGGGGAGAGGGAGGAGGGAGGTGGAGGAGGGAGGATGGGGCTCCGGGACGCTGGGCTCGGCACATGCAGAGGTGCGCCAGCGGCCGCGTCGCACCCCCGCGGCGATCAGCGCGGGGCGGCCTCGGCCGGGGGTGGCGGGAAGTCGGAGGAGGCGGCGGGTGCAGAGGGAGGGAGAGAGGGCGGGAGGGGGCCGGCGGGGGGGGGGGGTCGTGCGGCCCGACAACCCGCCTTGTCGCCAGACCCCAAGAAAGCAGTCTCAAATTCGAGCGTGGAGCCGCTCGGAGGCATTCCTCCCTCGGGGCACTCTTGGCCGCCCAACCCGCCAGCTCCCAGGGCAACGCTGCGCGCAGCCTTCCCGCTCCCGCCGTCCGGGAGGGCCCGCAGTCCCTGCATAAGCATGGAGCGAGCTCCGTCGCACCCAGCGAGGACCCAATCGAACAACTTATTGAGCTTGGCACTGCCTGTTGCCGCACGGCGGGTCCTAAAACGTAAGGGGGATCCCGACGCCTCCCTGGGCCTGCAGCTCCCTAGCCTCCCTCGTGGAGGGAGGAGGAGGAGGAGGAGGCGGAGGAGGAGGAGGCGGAGGAGGAGGAGGAGGAGGAGGAGGAGGAGGAGGAGGAGGACCCTGAGATCATGGCGTCGCAATCTTTTCACACTGGGCTTTTTTGCCCGGAGTCTGGCCCTGGGACTCTCACGTCTCGATCGGGCTCGAGAGATGCAGCAAACAGATTGGGTCTAGGGCCCTGGTCGTGACTTTTCGACACTGTTGCATTTTTTCGCGACGTTGGATCGTGGGGGATGGGGGAGGGGGCAGAGGTGGAAGATGAGGATGAGGATGAAGGAGGAGGAGGAGGAGGAGGAGGAGGAGGAGGAGGAGGAGGATGAGGGACTACCAGGATTTTGCGGCGGCACTGCTCTGCCCAGTCGCGGTGACTACGGAGGTGCTGAGGGAGGCACTGGTACTACTGCGAATGGCGCTGCTGGCTCCAGCCGTGATGTCACTCTGGTGCTGCTGGCTGTACTAGTGATGCTGCCCGCGGTGCCGCTGGTTGTGCTGGTGCTGCTGCGTGTGATCCTGATGGTCTCAGTCGTGGTCATCACAGTGGCGCTGCTGGATGCATTGGTGCTGCTGCGCATGGCGTCCGTCCTGCTGCTCTGGCGCGTCGTACTCCCACGCATGCTGCTTACAATCGTCGTCTGGGCGACGGTGCAAATGTACTGGTAACTCGGGGAACATAAGATGTCGTGCATATTATTTAATGTTCCCACTCACGCACACTTGCTCCGTGACATTTAGATGTGCTTCCTTTACACTTCAACGCTATGCGGTACAAACTATCGTGCCCCTTCTGTCCCGGCCGCGTGGCGGACGGCCCGGCCGCATAGCAGGAGCAGAGTAAGCCCCGAACGCATAATCAAAGAGATGCTGCGGCTGGCACACGCTGAGGAATGTGCCAGTAACGTTACCTGTGGCCGCGGCGCTGCTGGTGGCCGCCGTTCTGAGCAGACGAGGCTTGAGGGGTCGTGGTACAGCACTACATCGTGCAAACGTACTGCTGAAGCTTGTCAGGCTGCTCCTCGTCGTGCTGCCGGCGACAGTAGGGCCGCGCATAAGTAATGCTGCGCGCTGTCGTGCTGCTCAGCGTCGTGCTGCTGGGGCTCCCATCGTGCTGCCTATCGTCGTGCTGCTGGAATCCGTCGCGATGCTCATCGGCGCGCTGCTGGTAAACCCGGTCTTGGGAATGCTGGCCCATCCTCCGCCGCGGGGTAGCGGACGGGCCCGAACGCCCAGGCAGAGGGTAGCCCAATATGCTGCGCTGCGTGCGCCACACCTGGATGCCAGCGAGTGCTGCTTGCATTCGTCGTCAGGACACCAATGTAGATGAACTGGTAGGCGTTGTTGGCCCGAGTCGGCGAGCTGGTCGGCACGGGGGTCGGCGAGCTGGTCGGCGCGGGATTCGAAGAACTGGGCGGGCTGGGAGTCGAACTGGTCGGCACGGGAGCCGGTGAGCTGGTCGGTGCGGGAGCCGTCAAGCTAGTTCATGCAGGGGTCAACAAATTGGTCGGCGCGGGAGTCGACGAGTCTTTCGGCGCGGGAGTCGGCGTGCTGGTCAGCGAAGGAGTCGGCGAGCTGGTCGGTGAGGGGGTCGGGTCGGTGAACTGGTCGGCGCGTAGGTCGGTGAGCTGGTCGGCACGGGAATCGGTGAGCTTGTCGGCAGGGGAGTCGGTGAGCTGGTCGGTGCGGGGGTCGGAGAGTTGGTCGGACGGGGAGTCGGTGAGATGGTGGGCGCGAAATCGGCGAGCTGACCGGCGCGGGAGTCGGTGAGCTGGTCGGTGCGGGAGCCGCCCAACTGGTCGGAGCGGGAGTCGGTGAGCTGGTCGGTGCGGGAGTCGGTGAGCTGGTCGGCACGGGAACCCGTTCGCTTTTTTGGGCAGCCTAAGCACTTGCATCAAAGTTTCCGGCTGTTTTGGTGGTTGCGGGAATTGGCGAGCTGGTCGGTGCGGGGGTCGGTGACAGGGTCGGCGCAGGAGTTGGCGAACTGGTCGGTGCGGG